TCATTTCAACTTTGGCTACCTTTCAAAACTGCGCTACCATTATAAAACTGTGCTTCATTACTCAAGCTGCTCCCATTACAAACTGCGCACCATTATCAATGCGTACCATTACTACAATCTTTTGTTAAATTTACATATCCACTGCCACCCAATGCATCACTTTACCTGGATTCCTTGAGGTTTTTTGAGAGTCAAAGCCCCCGCCCGATCTATAAAGACCTTGTGGTGGGTCAAGGGCCCATCAACCCGGATTTCTGCGGACGCACGCAAAACCCCCGGGACAAAACCAAGCCTGGTGGTTTTTAAATATGTACGATTTGGGGCGTGTAGAAACTGTAGGAAAGCAGACATTTTTTCAAAATCTCAGAGCTAAAGGGCAATTTCTAAAAGGCGGGGGTTCCAGTGGCAAACTGATTGATGGGAAAGGGGAAGCGAGGAGGATCATGTGGTGTCTGTATCAAGTGTGACAATGTTGAGGTGCAAATTTCAAAAAATTAAATGTTGCTGCTTATAATTTTCTATTTTTTTTCAGCAATGTCCCGTGGGGATTCGAACCTGGACCCCCTGGTGAAAAAGGGTGCCTCTCACCACGGGCTACTGCAGTTGGGATCTGCAATTTTTCTAGAATTGCGCCCATATGTTTTGTGAGGTAAAATGGTTTGTAACAATGCCTGTATAGCAAATTTGGGGCCCCATCCTGAAAAAAAACAAAGCCTTTTTAAAAAAAAAAAAATTAAAAACCAAAAATAATATTGTGGTATAATTTGAGAAACAAAAACAAATGGAAACAGTAGGTCCTCATGGGCCGCAAAAAGGAAATAACATTTTTTTTTTTTTTATTACAACGGGGCCCATTCCCCCAAGGCAGGGGGGCCAAAAAAGAAAAAAATTTCACCATCTTCCTCCATCAGTCTTCCGAAGGGGGCTTTCACTCGTTTTTAAAAGCAAAATTCAAAACCCCCCCTTTAGAGGTTCAGGCACTGTACTTCCCATCTCCAGGATCAAATTCCCGGGCCGCCGGTTTCCCCCGAACCCCCCAAAAAGTTATTTTCCACCCCAAAAGCCGCAAAATTAAAAACCTTTTTCCCTTCACTCCTACAAACACCCACCTGCCGCTGGAAAATCAAAGCCCCCCCGCCACAAACCTCCTTTACCCCCTCCCTCCCCTTTCCCAGGGAACCCCCCACCCCGCCTTCCTTCCACTACCACTGATACCTCTTGAAGTCACTCGTTTCGCCCTTTTTCTTACTGTCCCCACCTCAAAACCCTTCCCCGCCCCCTGGACAACAGTTTTGGTAATCCCGCCCTCCTCCCAAAATTCCAAACCAAATTTCCTGCTTATATTCACCCACACATTGCCCTCAGTTCTCTCCCTGCCCCCGCCCTTTTCCCGCAACATTTCAACCTCTTCAAACCCTAAAGAGCGGGGGTAAAACTATACTCTCTACTTTTCCCCCCTTGCCTCCCAAAGGGCAAAATTCTTTGTCTCCCCAGACCCTAATGGGCCCCCCCCCTCCCTTTCCCCTCTTTAATTTTTTGTTCACCTCATCTTTCATTGCCCTCCCCGACACGTCCACTCCCAAATATCAATCATTCACCTCCCCCAACTCTCTCCCTCCAATCTGATCTAACTTTCACCCTTCTTTTTTCCCATAAACCCTTTCCTTTCCTGTATTACCTTTTATTTTTTTTCTTTTGCCACCTACCAAAATTCTCCACCAATTCTGCAACTTCTCTTTAGAATCTCCCCCAAAAGGGACAGTGCATCAGCAAAGGCAACTGTGACAATCCCACTTTTGTGTGTTTTTTTACTTTTACTCCCGCCTCTGCCAAGACCCTCCATTTACTTTCTTACTACCCCCTTTATAAATATTTTTAAACAAACCACGGTCACACACATCCTTGTCAAGGCCCACTTTTACTGGGAAAAATTTCCCTCTTTCCTCATACTCTAACGAGCCCCATACCTCGAAAAACTCTTTACGCTTTTAGTAACCTACCCCTACACCCTTTTCCCTTGCAAAAATTTCCACATTGTCCCCTTCCACCCTGTCTACGCCTTTTTCCAAACCCTAAAAGCCAAAAGCCTCTTTACCTTATCTAATTTTGTTACTTATATGTTCACGTAAAACCTGGGCCACCCCCCACCTTTCCTAAAGCCTCCTTGTTCATCTGCTATCCTATTCTCCGTCTTACTCTTAATTCTTTCAATAATAACTCTACCATACACTTTACCAGGTATACTCAACAGACTTATCCCCCTATAATTTTTGCACTCTCTTTTGTCCCCTTTGCCTTTATATAAAGGAACTATGCATGCTCTCTGCCAATCCCTAGGTACCTTACCCTCTTCCATACATTTATTAAATAATTGCACCAACCACTCCAAAACTATATCCCCACCTGCTTTTAACATTTCTATCTTTATCCCATCAATCCCGGCTGCCTTACCCCCTTTCATTTTACCTACTGCCTCACGAACTTCCCCCACACTCACAACTGGCTCTTCCTCACTCCTACAAGATGCTATTTCTCCTTGTCCTATACACGAAATCACAGCTTCTCTATCTTCATCAACATTTATCAATTCCTCAAAATATTCCCTCCATCTTCCCAATACCTCTAACTCTCCATTTAATAACTCTCCTCTCCTATTTTTAACTGACAAATCCATTTGTTCTCTAGGCTTCCTTAACTTGTTAATCTCACTCCAAAACTTTTTCTTATTTTCAACAAAATTTGTTGATAACATCTCACCCACTCTCTCATTTGCTCTCTTTTTACATTGCTTCACCACTCTCTTAACCTCTCTCTTTTTCTCCATATACTCTTCCCTCCTTGCATCACTTCTACTTTGTAAAAACTTCTCATATGCTAACTTTTTTCCCTTACTACTCTCTTTACATCATTATTGCACCGATCGCTCCTCTTCCCTCCTGCACCCACTTTCCCGCAACCACAATGAACCCATAATGGTCACATCCACATACACAGTTCCTGAGGAACGGGAGACAATAAGGTTGCCAGGAAGTGGAGAACAAGTTCAATTCCTTCAATTGAGGATCCTCAGCAACACCAAGGAACTTTTCTTCAGGAGTGGCAGGGCAACAAACACTAATAGCTGTAATATTATTACAATCAAAACTAAGCATTAAGCCTATAAGGGTCACACAACACTAATAGCTGTAGGGTTAATTACGGGTGCGTATCCTTCAACACATACTGACGTAGTCAGCGACCAGCCACATGATTAAACGGTCAACAAAACCTACTTTATTTCTATTAACTTTTCAAACTGCTATATTCATGGGAAAGTGCTAAACCCTTAGGGGTCATAGAGCATCTGATAAACTCACCAAAGAAGAATATTACCCAGCAGTAGTTGACAGCTGCAGCAGCATCCTTAATGTTCAGGGAAGAGGAAACAGTACAGATGACCCTCCAACATGGATTTGAATTGTGTGGGTCCACTTATCCACAGATTTTTTTATTCAATAAATACATTGGAAATTTTTGGGGAGATTTGCAACTGAATATATTAAGAAAAAGTTAGGTATCTCATAAATGCATAAAATACATGTAGATACTAGGCTATTTTATCACTTACTATTATTATTATTATAATCATGGGGGAGCGCTAAACCCACTTACTACTATAAAATATACACAAATATATTATAAACATTAAAAACTTGTCAAAACTTATGCACACAAACAATTATAGATCACTCATGTTTCTTTTGTAGTCGAGAGAAATGTAAACAAAGATGCAATAACAGAATACTTATACTACTACTACTACTAACACTACTACTACTACTACTACTACTAACACTACTACTACTACTATACTACTACAAACCACAAACTACTACTACTACTACTAACACTACTATACTACTATACTACTACTACTAACACTACTACTACTACTACTACTAACACTACTACTACTACTACTAACACTACTACTACTAACACTACTACTACTACTACCTAACACTACTACTACTAACAACTACTACTACTACTACTAACACTACTACTATAACACTACTACTACTACAAACACTTACTACTACTAACATTACTACTACTATTACTACTACTACTATTACTACTACTACCAACCCCTTACTACTACTACTAACCCACTACTACTACTAACACTACTACTACTCTACTACTAACACTACTACTACTAACACTACTACTACTACTACCAACACTACTACTACTACTAACACTACTACTACTACTATTAACTAACACTACTACTATTTAACACTACTACTACAAACTACTAACACAAACTACTACTACTAACACTACTACTAACAACTACTACTAACTACTACTAACACTACTACTACTACTACTAACACTACTACTACTACTACTAACACTACTACTACTACTACTAATAATAATAATATTCCTCCTTGGTAGTAGGTTGGTAGACAGCAACTGCCCAGGGAAATACTACTGTCCTACCAAGTGAGTGTAAAATGGAAACCTGTAATTGTTTTACATGATGGTAGGATTGCTGGTGTCTTTTTTTTTTTTTCTTATGTCATAATACATGGTATACCAGATATATCTTGCTACTTCTACTTACACTTAGGTCACACTATACATGCATATTTATTTACACATCTGAATTTTCTTCAATTTTTTTAATGGTTCTTGTTCTTCTTCATTTCCTCTTATCTCCATGAGGAAGTGGAAAAGAATTATTCCTCCGTAAGCCATGCGTGTTGTAAGAGGCGACTAAAATGGCAGGAACGAGGGGCTAGTAACCCCTTCTCCTGCATTACTAAATTTAAAAAAGAAAAACTTGCATTTTTGTTTTCAGGTCACCCTGCCTTGGAGGGATACAGATGCTTCATTAAAGAAAAAAAATACATAGTTGAAACAAGAATAAGGCACATTATACTTACGCATTTCTGAGATATTTATTTTCATGCACTAGTCTTATTTAATGATAATAAAACAAAACACACGTTTGTATTTCACTTATTCATTCAGTCATTCACATTCAGGAGACAGACAATCTATTTTATAATAAGAAATACTAAATTATAATTTTTTTCACCAAAATTGTAATAAAAGCTAATACTATACTATGGTATAAATAAAATCTTTCTGAAAAGATCCCTAAAGCATGTCTTAGTTACTGGAACTAAGAAAGGCAAACTGGCCCTTGGAACATCTGTTTGCGAAGTGTCCCTGTTGACCACACTGAAAAAAGAAACATATTTTTAGGCCTATAATTTTTCCTACAAATAAATACTCATAAAATTTAGCAAAATATGATAAATTTAAAGTACTATGTATGTATATGTCCTGTATATATGTACAATATGTAGGTGTTGATATCTTGCAGTTTTTTAACTGTAGTATAGGCATGCCTCTGGCAAGACAGTGATAAAGTGAATGATGATCAAAGTCTTTCTTCTTTTTCGGGTCACGTTGCTTCAGTTGGATATGGCCGATGTGTTAATAAAGAAAAGGTATGTATATACTGTATTTATTTATTTACTTTAACTCTTTTAAAATGGGTGAAGCAAGATCCAAATTATTAAAAACATTGCAGCTATTTCAAATAAGTTAAAAAGGCAAGCTATAATTTAGTAATATCTCAAAAGACAATCAGAAACAAAACTTTTAACATACCTTGAAGCAAATAACATTATCCAGTCGATTGTTATCCATTTGGTGAGGCATAAAGTAGCCTGAATTTTCTCTGCCCGGCTGATTCTTTGGTCCACCTGAAGCCAAACTCTGAAATTTTTTATATTAATTTTATATGAAATTAGGAAAGGACTAATATTTAAATCTAAATCTACTGTAGATTCAAGTATTTAATTTTTTTTTATTATCATTTGATTTTGATAAATCCCTATCTTATATCTTGGCATTTAGCATACCCATTAATTATCATGATAATCTTTTTACTGCCAAACCCCGGCCCGGTTTGAACCCGCGGCAGAGATCTAAAGTGGTCACGTGGTGCCTTGCAAACCTTCCTAGGGTGTAGAAATATACCTAGTTGGACGAATCTTATTGTGGCTAGCTGGTCTAGTGGCTAACGCGACAGTCTGGAGTTTTGAGACTCCTGACCGGGGGTTTCAATCCGGCCCGGGGGGAGGTTTTTTGCAATCGGCTTTTTCGTTTTCGTGAGTTGTTTACTGATTGATATGTACCCCTTCTCTTTGAAGAGCAGTTCATAGAATGAATACAAATTTTCCAACCCTTAATTCTTTTTAAATACCAGTTGTAGCCCTCTTGTGAAAAGAACTTTTTAATAATTTTTTCTTTTTCACAAAACATGAATTATATCAAAATAGAATTTCAATGGGGAAGTGGAAAAGAATTTTTCCCTCTGTAACCTGTTTTCCCAAAAAGGGGCACTGAAATGTAGGAGAAAGGTAGTAACTCCTTTTAACTTTACAAAATATAAAAGGAAAAAAAAAGCTTTTATTTTTTTCAGGTACCCTGCTTGGTGGGAGATGGGGGGTGTTAAAAAAAAATGGTTATAAAATTTTCCTGTTATTGTTTTACTGTTTTTAAATTTGTTAGCAAATAAAAAAAATTGTTGCAGTTTCATCATTCCTGCTTAAAAAATTTTCTGATTAAAAAGTGTGGCACTTTACCCCACTTTAAACTTGTACAATTTTCTTTTTCTGTTTCTTTTTGTTACTCAAAACAAATTTGAGAAATGTTGAATTTCCCTTTACTTTTAAAGAAAGATGTAATTGGAAAATTATTTAGTAGTACTGTACTTTTTTTCCTTCCCTTTAAAACTTTACTTTAAATATTTTTCACAGTTTTATTTTTTCCACAAAAAATTACAGTGGAACCCCGGTACTTGAAAAGCTCCCCATTTTAAAAAAGCTCAGTACCACCAAACAAAAAACAACCTGCCCGAAACTTTGCTGTAAAAATGTTTCTGTTTTTGCATTTATTGGTGTTTTTTTATATTTTTGCATAAATAATCACCAAGGGAGCAAAGGGGGTAGTAACCCCTTCTCCTGTATATATTACTAAATGTAAAGGAGAAACTTTCGTTATTCCTTTTGGCCACCCCCCCTCGGGGGGATACGGCTGGTGTGTTGAAAGAAGAAGAAGAAAGAAGTCACCAAGGGGCGTATGAAGATTAGTGATAACGGCCAACCAAAAAGTAATTTGGTTGGGAAAAATTCGTTCGATACTCGAACAGCCTTCTGGAATGAATTAAGTTTGAGTATCAAGGTTCCACTGTATAATGAAAATTTTGAAATGGACTCACAATAATTGCATTTTGTTCCCTTAGTTCCGGTTAGCCTTGCAGCAATTTGAAGCTTTGTGACCAGCTTCTCCACAGAAATGACAGGTGATTCCCTGTTCTTGTGAAGTGGTTGTTTGTCATCTAGAATTGTGGCAAATTCAAATCTTGGGCTGCAAATTTAATTGGAATTCAGAAAATAACAATATATGGGTTAAGAAAGATCATTTATTTGGGATAAATAATTACAGGAGTGCCTGTGAGTGAGGTAAATGGTGAGAGAAGAAATTAATGATGAATAGGAAGTACAGTACTGTATAAAGCGAGAGTTCTTATATCAAAAAGGAAAATGACAATGGAAGAATGTATGGAATTATGCACAGACAGAATAACAGAGATTTATTTTAGGATATTGGGATATATTACTGGGAATAAGCATACAAATAAAGACACAAAATTTTAATATCTCTGGAAAAGGCAGGTATTGACCTGTGGCAAGAGTCCTAAAATTACCAACATGCCAGTGTAATAAGAGTCATCAACTAAGTACATTTCTATACACTATGGAGGTTAGCGCTGTATAGTCCTTGTGGCTTAGCGCTTCTTTTTGATTATAATAATAATATGGAGTTACATGGCCATTGGATCCAAATGCAGTTTTTATGGTAGCAACAAGCACCAGCAAAAGCAAGACTTGTCCATGAAAACCTGAAACTGTGGTTACAATGGGGCCCATGCTAATTCCACCCTAGTGGATAGAACTATACCTAGATAAATTAATCTTATTTGGTTGACACTGTGTAGTGGTAATAGTATTGCTTCATAATTTTAGGAGTGTCTTGCCAGAGTTATGTCCTGCCCACTTTCTGAGTTGTTTATGCTCGTGTTATTACTATTTCATGAATCAAAATTTTAATGTATACTTTTTTTTTTTTTAATAAGTCAGCCGTCTTCCACTGAAGCAAGGTGACCTAAAAAGAAAGAAAATCCCCCAAGAAGAAATTTTTTACCATCAATTTAAAAAACTTTCACCTCATCACACATAAAACTGTTTTTGCCGGGGGTCTAAAAACAAGGGGAGTTTTAGAAGCTTTACGGATGGGTACACAACATATCCCCAAAACCAAAATGTCAATTTCCCCCAAAAACCCCCCTATAAAGTGCAGGCATTGGTACTTCCTTAAATTTCCCGGCTCAAGTCTGGCCCAAAATAAAAAAAAATGGTTTTCATGAAAACCCTTCACTAAAATTACCCGCTCCCACTCCAACAGCTCGTCAGGTCCCAAAAACCCTTTGTTCCATTCACTCCTATCTAAACCCTCAAAGCACGCTTTCTGGGGAAATCCAAGCCCCCGCCCCAAAAACCTCCTTTACCCCTTCCCCCCAACCTTTTCGGGAGACCCATACCCCTCATTTCCTTTTCCCCACAGATTTTTTATGCTTTTAAAGTCATTCTACTTTTATCCATTCCTCTAAATGACCAAACCCCTCCCACAACCCCTCTTTTCCCCCTGACTAATACTTTTAATTAACTTAAAAACACCTTTTCCTAAATTTTTCCCCACTTGAATTTTGCAAAATAAATTTACACCACACATTGCATATATAATAAGGATTGGGTTTTATTAATTTTGATTAGAAAAAAACTATCAGTTAAAGGGCAAATATTGTTTCCCCATTTTTATTACTTTTTCATGCACTCTTTTTTTAAACTTTTTTGGTAATTTTAATACAGCCTCTCCCCACTTAAAAGACGGAGTTCCGATCCTAAAACCCCATGTTTTTTCGAATTTATTTTCTTTAAAGGGGGGAGTATACCCATTAAAGGTATGGGTTTTGTCCAAACCCTCTCTGGGTATTCTTTTTTAAAGTCAACCCTTTTAACCATTTATAAAATTTTGTGGCATCTTTAAATATTTATAGAGTTTGTGTAATAAAACTGGAAAAAAATAATAGAAAAAAAAAACAGCTCTAAATACATTATTTAAATATAAAAAGCTGGTGAGTGAGCCTGTTTTTAAGTCCCAGGCGTTTGGTTTAAAAGGTACGTCGAAAGGGGGAGGGGCTGTTCTGATGGGGAATCTTTTTTTTTTCTCTTTTACGACATGTTTCATGTATATGTAGGCCAAATTGTAACAAATCAACAATTAAAGTAATTTTTATAAGAATATTGAGAGAGAGAGAAAAAAAAAAAGACCAGATGAGGCTAACAAAAAAAGGGTTTTAAAATAATAGGCAGAAATTTTGGGTTTTCCCCTTCAGGAAATTAAATTTGGGGACAAAAATTTTTATGGACACCAAAGTGTCACAGGGGTTTACTTTATTTACTTTACCCTTACAAAAAATTTTTTTTGGGTTTTTTTCCCCCCCAGGGGGGACTTTATTGACTTTACCTTCCCATTTATGGTTTTCAAAGGGTGATTTATTGATTTTTCCTTTTTACATTATGTGTCAAGGGTGGGCTTTTTTGACTTTTTCCCTTTAAATTTTAAAGTGTTTACGGGTTTTCTTTTTGACTTTAAAATTCACATTTAGCCCGTTTCTGCACTTCAACTTTTTCCCTTTACATTAGCCTGCCCACTGTTACTTCAATTTACCTTCATTTAGCCGCCCACTGTTTTCTTCAACTTTTCCTTCAAAAATTTTCCCGCTACTGTTACTTTAACTTTTCCCTTTAAATTTGCCTGCTACTGTCACTTCAACTTTACCTTTTCCCTTTTTGCCCGCTACTGTTACTTCAACTTTTCCTTTACATTTAGCCTGCTACTGTTACTTCAACTTTACCTTCACATTTAGCCTGCTACTGTTACTTCAACTTTACCTTCACATTTAGCCTGCTACTGTTACTTCAACTTTACCTTCACATTTAGCCTGCTACTGTTACTTCAACTTTACCTTCACATTTAGCCTGCTACTGTTACTTCATCTAGCTTATTTTTATGATAAAGCAATTTCTGAGACAGCATTTTTGCACACCTTTTATAAGCCCTAACATACAAGTTAACTGAAGCACTTACAAAAAAATCTTAATTCACACATTTAGTATAAAACAAATACATACTGCATAAATTTGCAACTTGATCCATCTGGACAGAAACCCGAGAAATAATTCATGCAGAGGACTCTTCGTACATGACGATTTCGACACTGAGGACCATGACGGCAAAAGCCTCTATCATACCATGGACAGTCTTTCATTTTCATGTCAGGGTTTATGTGTAGGAACGGGCACTCCTTGTTGTGGCAGGCATCTGTGGAATATTTTTAATTATAAATTAACATAAATGTTCACAAAAGAATTGTATTTATGCTGTTGGTGAAAAACATAAGTTAAATATAGCCAGGATATGCAAAGAAGCTTTTCTTTTTAATTATTAAGAAAGCATTATCCAAAAAACACTGAAGCATTATCCAAAAATGACTGAAATACTCTTGCAATTAATTTGAATAAATTCCAAATTCAATATCTGGACATTAATGCATTTATAAAAAATAAAATTTTGTGGGATTTTATATTTGAGAGTCCTGGACATCAGAGTTTGTACCTGTACTGTATGTGCTTTATGTACAATAATACTGTATTACTTGTACAATATTGGGAATAATAACATGCGCACTGGGGTACAACATACTTTACATTTTTTTTTAACGCTAAACCTGTGTGGGTCATTCAGCGCAAGGAGTGGTGGATGTCTGATCCTCCATCCACTATTTGCAAGACAGGCATGCTATTCTAGCCACAGGCCTCTCCCAGGGCACACAATATGTATTTTAGAAAACTTCAAACTTAAGAAATCAACTACGTGTATCTTTCTGTTATTCAGACAAAAAAATCTGAATTAGAAGTCTTTTAGTACAACAAAGAATTTGAGAAATTATTCGCTTACTTATTTTAAATATTTTTTAGGTAGACTTCAAGATGCAAATTTCAGATCACTAGTTTTTTCTTATTTGGAAAATTCAAGAGTTTTAGAAATTTCAAATACTGCACAAGTATCTTTATTTGGAATAAAAATACCTAATTGTTGTACATGTCTCTTACTTATCAACTGTACAGGTGTCATTAGCTTTATACAGTTTATATACTTCAGGTCCAAGGCAGATATACAGTGGACCCCCGCCTAACGATATTATTTCAATCCAGAGGTCTGTTCGGTGCCATTATAGACCGAATTTGTTCCCATAAGGAGTATTGTGAATTAGATTAGTCCGTTTCAGAACCCCAAAAATACACCTACAAAAGCACTTACAAAAATACACTTACATAATGGGTCGAGTTGGGAGCTGTACTAAGTTCAAGCAGAACATCAACACTTATTTCTGCCAAACATAATTTCAATATGTTTTGTGAGCCATGCTGAGTGCCTACAATGAATGTAGATCACACATATGGGACTTAGCACAATAAAGTGACCCCTCATTTTATGAGGGGGAAGAAACTGGTACTCTATGAAATCAAAATTTCCTATTTGGAAGAATATGGGTTATTTGTGAAGTCAAAAAATATTAAGAAACTAGTCAATGAAGCTATGGGTAATATTGCATAGTGTAATACTTACTGAAACGAGAATAGAAATAGCATTCAGGCATTTTTGACATATCATATTCGTGGAGAAATTCACACTGGTCGCCCTTTTTGCACAAGCCACGAAGCCAATGCTTGCAAACAACAGTTCTGTCTCCCCGAACGTGACGAAATGGGCAACTGACACTTTTACTGCAGTTCCCACGCATGTAAAATGTGCACACTGCAGCTATTGATTCTGAAAAATGCAGAAGTTATTACTCAATTTGCATCACTGAATCTTTCAACATTTTTGTGCAATTTTCTTCAGATGACATAATTTCTAATTAGTGTCATTGAATCTTTTCACAATTACAGTGTTACCTTGCTTAGCACAAGGGACACTACTGTATAGGTTGAGCCCGACTCCTTCCACCTGGTGTCTGGATTGGAAATAGTCCCCAAATCTAGATATGTATATAAGGAAAAGGGAAGAAGAATCTTAAATTGGATACACTTAAATTTAGAAAGGATGCAGAAAAGTACTCATTCGAAAAGAGAGTTGTTGATGAGTGGAACTATCTGCCAAGTAAAACCTTGAAAAGCTTTAAAAATAGGTCAGACAAATATATGAGCAAGAAGAGTTGGCTTGAGTAGGATCTGCCTAGTATTGATTATTAAGGTTATTGAAGCTAATTCCTTGGGTAGCTTCAAGAATAGATTGAACAAATGTGTACGTGAGATGGGATGAATTTGAGAAAGACCTGCCAAGTATGGGCAGGTCCTGCTGCAGTGTTCCTCCATTTTTATGTTCATGTGTTCGTATAGGATGATTATGTACCTGACGTCCAGGCCAGAAAAAATTTAAGAGAGGTTTTATTTAGGTTAAATATTTTTACAGAGGTTGTATTAAGTACTGTAGGTGATTATTATACACATACTGTATCTTCTTCTTTCAACACACCGGCCATATCCCACTGAGGCGGGGTGGCCCAAAAAGAAAAACGAAAGTTTCTCCTTTTACATTTAGTAATATATTCAGGAGAAGGGCTTACTAGCCCCTTGCTCCCGGCATTTTAGTTGCCTCTTACAACACACATGGCTTATGGAGGAAGAATTCTGTTCCACTTCCCCATGGAGATAAGAGGAAATAAACAAGAACAAGAACTAGAAAGAAAATAGAAGAAAACCCAGAGGGATGTGTGTATATATGTGCTTGTACATGTATGTGTAGTGTGACCTAAGTGTAAGTAGAAGTAGCAAGATATACCTGGAATCTTGTATGTTTATGAAACAGACAAAAGACACCAGCAATCCTACCATCATGTAAAACAATTTACACTCACTTGGCAGGACGGTAGTACCTCCCTGGGTGGTTGCTGTCTACCAACCTACTACCTAGGACATACTGTACATTGTCAATAAAATACAAAGATTTAACCATGTATAATTAAAGATAAACTGCTGAATTTATTTACAAGCCAGTGCAAATGTCCAACTGCACATCTTTCACCTAAGAGCATTGTGAGGAACATCTAAAATGAGCAAATACAGCAAACTCTGAATATAATGGACTTTAATATAACAGACTTCTGAAATAATGGACAAAATCCTCTGAATAAACTATACTTTTAACTCCTTTGTTTTTAAAATTTGTTACTGTTTAGCTGTAAATATTGTGTACAGTATTATATTAGGAATACTTAAGAGAACTTTAGTGCTTTTATCTATTTTTTTAGCATTATTATAACTTAATGGTCACTTGGACAATCACCAGCTATTAGTATGTTATATCAAGGGTTTACTGTATTCTTTCTTCCAAAATAACACGGCAGATATCATTATCTTGTACAGTGGTACCTCGAGTTACGAACTAAATTCGTTCCAGAAGGTGTTCGAGTGCCGATACCGAACGAATTTGTTCCCATAAGGAATAATGTAAATTAGATTAGTCTGCTTTAGACCCCCAAAAACACACTTACAAAAGCACTTACAAAAAGTCACTTACATAACTGTCCAAGTTGGGAGTTGTTTGAAACTCGAGGTACGACTGTATTATATTCATGTGGAAGTATTAAACCTATACGGGTCATACAGAAGTGATGGATAACAGAGCTCAAATAGAGATTTACTGGCATTTTAAACACCAGTGTACCTGACCAGCCGGGCTGTGGTTCATACGTCAGTTTGCGTGCGGCCAGCAGTAACAGCCTGGTTGATCAGACCTTGATCCACCACGAGGCCTGGTCTCAGACTGAGCTGCGGGGGTACTGACCCCCGAAACCCTATCCACGCATACTCCAGTGACAATTTATTCCATATGGAAAATTATCTAACATTGCTTGGGAAGGAGATTGCTCAAATATGGGTGAAAAAATGGGAGGACATTATTATTTTTATATTATTACATTCATGGGGAGCACTAAACCCACTGGGGGTCATATGGTGCCAAGGAAATAGGAGTCAGAGATTTGATCCAAGGAAAGGGAAGGTATCTTTAATTTTTGGATTAAGAGTCTTCACAAGCATCATGTTACCTCCCTTGAAGGGAAAAATAAAAAAATCATCCCAAAACATGAAGGGTGCAAGAACAAGTTTATTTAGGGGGCAGTGACCCCTCGGAACATCCTCCAGGTATACTCTAGGTACAGGTACACATACAGTATAATTTTTATAGTAGCATATGTGTAAATTACCTAGGATAACCCAATGGGAAACAGTCAGTGACTTATTTCCATTGGGAAAAATTTGTTGTCAATGCTGAGGGGCACCTAGTGAGACGTTTTCACACCGACAATAAAGGTACATTATAATGACAAGTAGTGGAGGAAGATACAACAAGCAATCACTATGACATTATCAAATTAAAATTATTTCAAATTTTTATTTCTTTTTATGCTGTACAAAGATAATATAGTTTACATGTAATAAAACATTGTTAGGCACAAAAGAAAGCCACTAGCATGTAAATGCATTGATAGAAAACTAATCCTAATGCTTAAAGATTTCTTAAAAATTAGACATACAAATACAAATCCTTGATAATGCAAGAAATCACAAAAAAGCTTGGAAGTTCACTATTTTTTCCACAGTGGTTGTTTTGCATATTGGGATATTACCTGTTTACTATGATATTACTGCACACAAATACAAATGATTTATCTTCTGCAGTATACAAGTGATGTAGGTTACATTATTTTTATTAACACATCAGCCATTTCCTACCAAGGTAGGGGGACCCAAAAAGAAAATACTTTCACCATCACTCACTCCATCACTGTCTTGCCAGAGGTGAGCCAACACTACAGTACATTACATACACAGTGTTTCAAAATGATGGATCTGATTTAAAATTGCTGATTCTCTGCAACTGGGTCTATCTGTATAACAAAATATTGTTAGACACTTAAAATATATGACTAACATGCGGAGAATTTTGGGCAGACTGATCCTAAGGCTCAAAGACTACCTAAGAACTAGACATGAGTTATTAAATAGGAGTTTTTACATTTTTTTTTAAAGTTTTAAATGACTCTTAAACAAGATTTTTTTTGATTGGAAAAATTTTGATCCTGGAACAATTGGAGTGACGAAGGTCCCAGGACTGAAACGTTTCCAATAAGAATAATGTGTGATGTTAAAACATGTTCACACACTGAAGGTGTAGAGGAAAGTAAGTGTCCCGTGGCTGGGTTGGTAACACACTCAGCTCACACACTGAGGTGCTGGGTTCGATCCCCGGTACGGGTGGAAACATTAGGACGTGTTTCCTTAAAACACCTGCTGTCCATGTTTACTTAGCAGTAAGTACCTGGGTGTTAGTCAACTGGTGTGGGTCGCATCCTGGGGACTAAATTAACCGAAATGCTCTGCATAACAAGGGACTTTCTATATAGTATGTTAGTAATGTCAGCTATGATCTGTATATGTCGTACATGTACTAGTAGAAATAAAGATTACCATTATTTATTATTATTATTATTGTGGGAGCGCCAAAACCGTAAGGATTACACAGCGCCTGTGGCGAGGGGGAGATGGAAGGTATTCAAGCTTAATTCAGGGAACTAGAGCACAGATCTAATTCCCTAGATCAAGAGCCCCTCACTAGCATCATGGGACCTCCCTTGAGGGGGTCATTTATGATTTAAAGTTGAAATACTGACTGTCCATGCCAGGGAAGGGCAGGATCTGCGCCCCAACTTGCTCCTCCAACTGAGTCTCTATATCAAAGGTGATTTTATCCACATTAGCCACAATGACCTCCATCTCCTCGTCTCTCTCTCTGTCCTCTTCTGCGAGATAAACGGCCGAATATAAGGAGATAAACGGCTAAATATGAGAGACGTGGAGAAGAGAGATGCTGACAGTGTTGTTGTTTACTTTCTGAAGTACTGGGGCTACACACTCAATTAATTTAAGTAAGTTTATTTAGGTACAAATACACATTAATACAGTTACATAAATTAGCATACATAGCAATATTTGTGTAGATTACCTAGACTAACCCAGAAAAGTCATACAAAGTGACTTATTTCCATTGGGATTCATCTCTCTTCAACACCATCAAACTCTCTGATATAAGCTGCATATTAACTTGCAGATGAATATTATCCCATTTTTATGATCGTAGTGTAAGTCTACATAATTAACATTCATCTAATCTATAAAAATATGTATTTTATTATTGGTTATTATAAAAATTGTGAACATGGCAGCTAATGGCAAATTAATGTAAATTTTATCCACTAGATGGCGCAGACTACGATCACTAATTCTATTGTGATGGTGACATTATTATATATTAAATATGCTTCGTGGTAATGTTCATGCTACTTCATCTATCATTTATATATCCATCTCATTATTATTGAAAGTCTCAGTCAAGAGAACTTTCACAATCACTCTCAGACAACCATTATGGACATCTCTAATTAAATTATTTTTTAAATCATTATTTTGTGAAGATTGATTGATTTTGTGAGCGGATCC